AAAGAACAACACACTAAGAGCAGTAATTCATTACAACTGTACAAAAACGATTCTATCTGTGAATATGTTGAAGCCCAAAGTTTCTAAAGTGACTTATTGTCACCTGGTTCAGAATAAATAAAAAAATCTATTAAGCAACTTTTGATATCCAATTATTAATCAGTAATCCAAAAAAAAACAAAACAAAAAGAAAATACTCAGATTAGCCCTACACTGTATTGATGTTCAGTCAAGCGAGAAGGATTGAGTATTTTCAGCTGCAGATGCAGCCTTTGATAGAAATGACCAAGTTTACACTAAATAAATGCTATGTTACTGCAAATTAGGCAACAAAATGTATATGTTTTTATTAAAAAAAAAAAGGAGCTGAATTATTTATTTGCATCTTTTAATGTTTTTGAAGTGTTGTAAAGTTCTGAGGGAGAAATCGATAGAGTAATCGATAGTTGAAATAATCATTAATGTCCTCTGAGCTTTCTCTACATCACAATGAGCCGACTTGTTTCTTTAATTCAGATTATTACAGACAATGTTCCGACCTTTATTTTTATGCCTGATTGAATTCAGGGAAATGTTTTCATCTGAATCATGCTTCTGCTGTTTGTCATTAAGCGTTGTTTACTCATCCTGACTGTCCGCGCCGCTCGTAGTGACGTATGGGTCGCTCCCTCATGCACAGAGCCATCCTCAGTCCTGCAGCCCTAAACCTCTTCCTAGCTCAGAGCATGCCTGGCACCAGGAGGCCCAGAGGGGTCGAACCAGGGCTGAAAGCAGCGTCGCACTCCAGAGCTGGCACCGGGTCTCGTAACCAAATAAGAATCCCATTTTTCCTCTTTTTCGCCGGCCCAAAGAGGCGCCGCTTACCCTCGGCTCTCCGTGGGCTCAGGGTACTTCCGTGGAGAATGACCCCTTTGAAGGATGGTCTGGTTTCTTTGAGAGGAGATTCTCCTCGCGCACAGTTTCCCAGCGCTGCAGCTACCTCTGGACCGCCGCCCGAGCCCCCCGTCCAAGAATGTTAATTGGTAGAGGATGTAATTAAGGCGATGTTTCTCCTTACACTTGGCCTAACCTTTGAGAGCCGCAGCTCACTTAGAGCAGGGTTTTTTTGTGGCGACTGTTGCTGCATAGTATCAGGTTTAGGTTTGTTTCAGACCCTTTGCAAGAACAGAACAGTCGGATGGAAAGACAGCGAAGCAAAATCAGCAAAACAAATAAACTTATAGATCTTCTGCCTGTTATTCACCAGTCTGAAAAGGAATAAGTAGAAGCAAAAATGTATCAAAATTTTTATAAAAGTTAAAATATCCAAAACCATTATTGTTTTAAATAAGGTGGAGGAATTGGTAAACAATAAGTCCTTGTATATTGTGGATAAGATGCATTGATGTCAGTTTATGGAATAATCTTGACAGTGAGATAAGAGGAGAGGAAGAATCTAAATCTCTTTCAGCACTTTATAGATATTTGACATTTATTATGACATTGAATAAGCTGATATATTTGTTGTGTATTTTTTATGCGAGTATTTTTGTTTATTTGAAATATGTTTGTACTATTCTTTTGAGTTGAATAGCTAATTTTATTTTGATGTGGAAAAACTTCATTCTGCTCCTTTTCACTTATGGTTTATTTTAGTTTTTACATGAAGTATTCATACTATTATAAAAAAAATAAGTGAAAATTTAAAAAAATGAAATAAGTGTTTCATATCAGTTGATATCAATAAATATTGATTACTTTTTATTTTAAATATCTGAAATCCTGCCAAATTGGTGATGTGACCTTTCCTGTTTTATCTGTAGTTTTTGCTCCGGGCCTTTGTTTAATTATTTTTAATCAGTTATGAGGAACGATGGTGAAACATGAAGCTCCTTCTGCGTAAGTTTCTCTGCAGTTTGTTGCTAGGTAACCAAAGAGTGAGTGAGTTGCTAGGTAACCAAAGAGTGAGAGAGTTAGTTGATTCCACCAACCTTCCTTAGCTAGCTGTAAGCCTTTTCTCTGCCTAGTTTTCCCAGAATGCTGTGCGGTTTTAGATCGAAGTTCAGTAGAACTATTTAATGAATGTATTGGTATAATCTGTTGACATAGTGCACACGTCGATTGCAAATATATGTTGTTGTTGTGATTTGTGGTTCAGCCTTAGTGGAAACCGTGGCTGAAATCTGTCGTTTTGGTTTCCACTCGGTGTTTTAAAATCGAGTGTGGGATCTGCCTCCGATCAAACGTGAAGGGAGCACAAACATGGCGGCTGTTTGTTCTCACTGTCTCCTCTCTTGTATGCGTGTGTTACCTCGTGTACTCAGATGTAAGTTTTGTGTTTGTTTACAGTAAAGTGTGAATTAGAGGAGATCCCCCCCCCCACCCTCAGTCTATCCTTTGATTTTTTTCTCTTCTTCCACTTCCTCTCCTAAGGCCCTGTATTATTAGCGCGCTGGGATCGCCTGACTGAAAGCTGAGGGATTAAGTCCGTGTCAAACATGCTTCTCTGTCTCACTTCCTCCACGACCTCCCCCTCTTCCTCCCCCTCTGTTGGCGCTCTGTGTTTAAACTAGCTCAGTGCCAGAACAGGGATCTGCTAAGTTTGGGACGTGCCGCTTGTGTGAATTTCTGCTTGCAGGTTTTGCTTTCTGGAGGGTTTCCAGACGTCCCACACAAAGCAGCTCATTGATTGCATTAGAGGCAGCAGTCAAGGCTTGTTTTTAGTGGAAACATTTCACTTGATTAAGCATGATTTGTGTTTGCTTTGAAGCTACTGTAACTTCAGCTCAGCTTGACAAAATGAGAGAAAAGTAGTCTTTTTCTCTCATTTTGACCTGAAACAGACAGCATTCATATTTCAAATTAGGATTTTTCAACCCTAATCCAGCAGTCAGTATCTTACTCATGCTGGATAGCAGTCAACGTTGTCTCCATTTTTAATAACAGTAATTATTATTACTGACCAGAGACTGGAGAAAATGGATTAGAGCCAACTTGAAGCAGATTACTGCTTGTTCATTTTAGGTTTTATATTTGTAAGGGGCTCACAGAATTTCCTTAAGAAATCTATTCGTTCATTAATATGGGTTTTTATTTTTCATTAAATAAATGTAAATTAAAGGTTGGATTTGTCAAGTTTTTTTAACACATCTTTTCCATGGGTGATCAAAACTGTAGGGGTTTCCTAAACTGTAACTAAGCCCCAAATTAACATTCTTTTTGTTGACAGTTTCCATACAAATTCTGACATTTTTGTGTAAATGTGTTTAGTTCTGCATTATTTTGACTCAAACCATCTCGGTGCTGCCCCCTCTGGTCAAACTGTGCCTAATAAGTTGTATTCTCCTATTTATTTAAAACGTTTTTGTCACACAGGAAGTGTGATTACTAGCTGCCACCACCACGAATTGAATTTGCTGTCTCTCCAATTGCTCCTGCCTGCATTGACTAATAATATTATTAAAATCCCTAATAATTTATTGATATGTCCAGAATATGTGTTTTTAGGAACAGTAAGCTTTTTAACATGTTGAATTGCTTTTATTCGAATGATCATATAAAAAGTATGACACATTTTTTTTATGCCTAATTTCTTACTGTTTTTTAAATTAATGTACAACTATCGTCCAATGTAAGCTGACTTATTCAGTTTAGAGACCGTACATCAATATACGGCCGCATTAAAACCTTAAATAGAAGTTTGTTATGATGATTATTATTTAATACCAGCTACTTGGTTAATTACTCAACCAGGTAGTTTTGGTTGAGTAATTAACCATTTTTCCAGTTATTTCTGCATTTTGTGGTGTATAAAAATTAATGTCCTGAAATGTTTGTCAAAGTTTGGCCTCGGCTTTGGTTTTGGTCTTAGAAGAATTGGTCTGGACTCAATCCCTGATATTTACCAGCAGCATGTTCTTGCACTTTTCTGAGTTACAAACATGTCCTTTGATGCATATTTTGTCACCGTAAGTCTCTAACAGCATCTAAACACAACTGGAAAGTCAATAAATATAGAAACAAAGCTTACAAGTAAGCAACAGTGGTTATTTCTTCCTGATTACAGCCCTGCTTTAATCATCTTCAAACTGTGTCTTTTGGCTCCGCCCGCTTTGGAGGAAGTTTTCAAAATTTGTCAGAGGCGGGGCTTAGCTTTCAGAGGGGGCTAGTTACACATTAACATTAGCTAAACGTGTTCAGCAGCTGTTCTTGTCGAGTCTGTTTTTGTCTCTGAGCAGAAGTTCAAAGCAGCCAGGTTGATTGTGGGTTTGTCTCAAACTTTCCAGAACAATTCAACCCCAAACTGCAGGCTTCCTGCTCGTTAGGAACAAGCTGGGCTTTCTCTCTGACTGAGGCCATTATTATAATCTTCATCATAATTTTACTCCTCAGTGAGCACTGCCTCTGTCAGAGACCTTCAGCTGAAGCTTTTTATTGAGGAGAAGTTAGGTTTTATTTTGAATGTGGTCTCAGGAGAAATGCAGACTGTAACACGTTGCCTTTTTTTTTTTTTTTTTTACCGTGCATGGACTGATTTGATACAACATGCTGAAACAAAGTCATTTACATCTTATATGCTCACAGCAAGGCTCCGTTTGCAGCTGATTATAGTGAATAAAAGCTTTACGTGTGAGTTAATGTGAAGAACTGAACATGTAAGGGATAAAACATGATGTACGGAAGCAGCAGAGCTGCTGAGCTGGGAAAAGCAACGTAAAGCATAAATAATGAACCAGTGTGTTTCCATGGAGACAAAGAAAGCAGAGATGAGCTATGAATGCAGGCGTGAAACTGCTGATTAAAAACTTGGACTTTTCTGAAAGAAAGTGTACACTTGTTTTCTCTTGGCACTCATCTTTTATCTGTTCTGGCAGACGAACATGAAAAACATCCATTCCAGCCAAATAAATGTGAAAAGCGGCATTAATGTTATATTTGTCAATGTGCCACTGTTCTTCTAGTTGATCGTGTGGCCCGGCGGAGCCGAACCCCCCATGACCTCACAACCTCACAGGCAGTAGCTTTGTAAGATAAAATGCACTATGAAATGTGCATTTTGTTTAAACCAGTACAAATGAAAGAACATATATGTTTGTTTATTAAGGTTAGGCCATTTGTTATTAATGTTATTAACTGACCATCGATAAATGAGTATTTGGCACCTAGGGTTGAATGTAAGAGATTTAGCAGACAGTTTTTTTATACTTAGCTTGCTTTTAGCAAACCTTCATCACATTTAATGAAAATGTCTAAAACAACTGTCATATATTATCATGTTTACTTTTCACAAAAGACGAGCAAATCTAAATCCAAGTATTAAGTATTAAATCTAAATTTAAACATTAAATCTAAATCCTAAATTATGAATCTAGATCTTAAATTTAGATAAAATGTTAAATCTAAATCTTAAATCCACTTGTCGGTCCTCCCTGAATATATTTGTCATGTGTTGGTGTTGGACCAATGAACATCAGTTGGTAAAGGGTCATATATTGCCTAGCCTAATTTTATATAATCTGGGACAACTGGCAGTGAGTCTTTTATTTTGACCGACTGTTTTTTGAATAATTGTTTTGATTCAGGTACATTAGTGGATTTTCAGCTGTGAACCAACTATTTATAAGATCCAAATTAGATTGAAGTTGGACTTTAAGTAGGCCACCCCAAAACCATAATTTTCTGTCTTTTTGAAGTGTCTGAGAGGTGGATTTCCTGATGTGCTTTAAAATGTGAGCATCTAACTGAATCACACAAATTCATATGATTTATTTAATTTGTATTTTTTCTGTGTGTGTTTGCTTAAGTATTTTCAATGATGTCTTCCATTCACACATAATTATCTGGTCCTGTTTTCAAATTTCCTTTCAACTTGAAACATTTTCTAAGACAGAAACTGGTGGACTGCCCTAGCGCTCTTCCCACTAGGCTTAATGAGTTTTCTGGGGGAAACCCTGGTTTCCAGCTTGAAGCATCAGAAGTATTTTATGTGTGAGTGAGTTATAAAGGTTTTACACGTGAGAGTCCCTCCTCCTGCTTTAAACAGTTTTAAATCACTTTAATGCACCACATTGTAAAGGTGGCTCCTACTCACAGCCCTGGCTTATATTCTGTGATCTGGGCCACATTTGAAAGTAGTTCAGGATCCACACTGAGTAACATTAGCTGAACGCTACAGTACGTCCCCGTTTTAAAATATTCAACACTTCTTAGATTGAATATTTATAAGATGGTTTTTCATCTGATACAGCAGCATAGTGATGTTTGGAAATACATCTATAAACAGAGTTTTACTCAGTTCATATTATGTCAGGCTAAACTATTTTTATTAAATTATTGAGGAAGAGAAATGGTTTCACATAAAAATGCTGGGATCCACACTCTCTTTTTTACTTTTACTTTAAAATACCAGAATGGCACAGTGTCAATTCACCGACTCCTACCAACCCACATAGCCACGACCTTTCAGCTTGTTTCTCTTACAGTTTAATTATTTTATGAATTGTTAGAAATAACAATCACACCAATGTCCATATTGAATTGATAATGTAATTTATCCCCATATATTTTATAGCTTGTGACCCTTTTCCCTGTTATAGTTACTATGAATATGAATCAATCATATTTTCTCACAGTAAATTATGAAAATGTTAGATAAAATTACTTTTAGTGAACAGTGCGATCACTAAAGACTGTTGGGTGCAAAATTACTCCTTTTCGTCTCCAAAAAGTCAGATATGAAGCAACCAAAACAAACACAAATGACATTAAACCGTCTTTGTTTTTGTCGGAAAGTTTCATTGGTAAAACCGGCTGACCAAATGTGCTCGAGTTCTGCTTGGGTTGCTAAGTAACGAACTGGGCTTGGCTGTGGTTGTTGCTAGGTAACATCACAGTGCTAATTTTCCAGGCACCAAAAACATTAACTTATTGCCAGAGAAATGGCAATAAGTTTTTTTTTAAGCACTTGCACTGTTTTTAGAAGAAGTTGAGAGATATAATAACGTGCAAAATGTGAATTTAGCTTAAAATGTCCATTTAAAGAAAACTAGATATGATTTTTTTAATGCTCTGCTTCAAGTCACGTTAATCCGATGTACTTCCTGTGTTTCTTCTCAGACGGCATCCACTCTGTATCAGCTCAGTGCCTCCTCCAGGTCACCATCATCACCGACGAGATGTTGTCCAACAGCATCACCTTACGCCTGGCCAACACCTCCCAGGAGCACTTCCTGTCCCTGCTGCTCTCCCAGTTCCTGGACGGCGTGGCGCGCGTCCTTTCCGCTGCGCCCGAAGACGTCGTCATCTTCAACATCCAAGACGACACGGACGTTAGTGCACGCATCCTCAACGTCAGCTTGTCCGTGGCCGTTCCCGTGTTTGGAGACGGACACCAGCGTCCCGGACGTCTCGGGAGCGACAGGCCCAGCAGGGGGCCTGAAAGCGGGGAGTTTTTCGGCTCGGAGGAGCTCCAGGAGAGGCTCTATCTGAACCGCAGCCTCCTGGCACAGATCTCCTCTCAGGAGGTGCTTCCCTTTGATGACAACATCTGCCTGCGCGAGCCGTGTGAGAACTACATGAAGTGCGTGTCGGTGCTGAAATTCAACAGCCTGGCGCCGTTCGTGGCATCCGACACCATCCTCTTCAGACCCATCCATCCTGTCGCCGGGCTGCGCTGCCGCTGTCCCACCGGCTTTACAGGAGACTACTGCGAGACTGAGATCGACCTCTGCTACTCGAAGCCGTGTGGCGCACACGGTGTGTGCCGCAGCAGGGAGGGGGGCTTCACCTGTGAGTGCCTTGAGGACTTCACAGGTAAGACCTCGATTCCTTACTCTGCAGAGAGTGATTGTCATTTGTCCACATCAGGCACTGATTGTGTGGCGCTCAGTTAGTTACTGACGATAAATACTACATCAGGGCTCGGCGATATGGCTGAAAAGCTTATCACCTTATAAGGGTTTCATATCAGTCGATATCGATAATTATTGATCAGTTTTTTTGTTTTAAATATCTGAAGTACTGCCACAACGTTGCTTATGTTTTTAAACAGTTATGAGGCAGTGTGGCAAAACCTAAAACTGCTGTTGTGCAAATTACTCAACAGGTTGTTGCTAGGCAACCAAAGTTGGGGGTGGGACTTGAAGCTTCTTGTTACCCAGCAGCTTGTTGCTAAGTAACCAAAGAGTGAGTGAGTTAGTTGATGCTACCAACTTTGCTTAGCTAGCTAACAGCGGCTAAAACCTTTTCTCTGCCAGATAAAATGTCATACATAACATAAATCCTGAAATTTACTCAAAGCAGCCCACGATGAAACAGTGACTACAAATCTCGTCTTCTTTACACAAATTGCAAAATTACAACTTATATCTCTAAAAAAAATTTGTTACCTTTGTTTTTTTTTTACCAAATACAATTTAAACTTACTTATTTTCCTCTGAGATTTTGTGTTCACAGAGAACAGCAGAATCAAAACTACAAAAAGAATCAAAGTAGTTTATTAATACTGAAACAAATTACAAATTTCAGTTTGGGCTTTGGGTTTAAAGGCCTTTTTTTGTAGATTAAGGGTTTTATCAATCCCACCCAGGCTTAGACAGACCCCAACTTGACAAATCAGTTTTGATTTGTCTAAAGAGAGAAAATATCTAACTCTAAATAAAATGTCAATATCAGACTTAACATTGAGGTTTTTGTATGTCCTCCATAGAAATCAAATCTAATGCTTAATTGGTTAGAGAAATAAACACCTAGCTAGTCACCAGCCAATAGAAATGGTGCATCTCTATAAAGCTATACCAGAGTTAAAAACCTTTGTGTTTGTTTTTAGAGACAGTAGAAGAGGCTTCTTTGAAGTCCTGAGATTATGGATTATCTAGTCAAATTAATTAATCTGTCCAACATTAAAATAATGTATGCTAGCTTAGGATTTGTTTTCCATTAAACTTGTTTGGATCCCACCTTCCAAGTGTTAATTTTTGACTCTTTCACAAATGTCTGACTGGGACTTCATTGTTTACATCTGACCCTTTGACCCCTTCCTCAGCCCTTGTTGGCTCTTTATTGGTTCAGACTGTCCGCTAATGAAAGGCTCTGCAGACACAATCTGAGTGATGAGGTATTGATTTGAGTCGACTCATTCCACTTGTAGAAAGCTGCAGGAAAAATATACCGGAGTATTTACTTATCTGAGAATTATATGATTGTAAAAAGAAAGTACACCCTTTACTTAGCCTGACAGTTTTAATACACAGCTGATCTGATCTTTGACAGATTAGGTTACATTTCCCCCATTTTGTCTGTGAAGTTATCATCTCTGGTATTATTTTATCTAATGTTTTTTTTTTTTTTTTTTAAACAAAATGATTAGTGAAAAGGTCTGTTTTTTTCCCTTTTGCTTATCTTCAGGTCTTCAAAATACTTCTCCAAAGGAAGTAGATCTAGCCAGGTTCACAGAAGTATTGCTGAAGAGAACAAGGGAAGGAAATGATTAATTTTTAATTATGGTTGTGGATGTACGGTGCGTCCCGGCTGTTAAATGCCTTGTAGTCAAAATACTTAAGAGAGAAAAAAAACAACATAAGCCTCAGAATATGCTGAGACTGAAGGGACAGCGGCTTCCACTTTCAGCATCATGATGAGTTAATTTATCACTGATGGCGGCAAAACAACAAAATTTATTATTTACTCAGGACTGTAAATTTTTATTACATCTTCAAAGGGTGAAAGATCATCTGATGTATAGTTTATGGCTAAAGGAAATAAGGAGATGCTAAAAAAACTGAGTTTAAAATGTAAATTTATTCAATATGGAAATGAAGGTTGTTACCCTCATCTTTTTATAGAGAGGTTAAGTAGGTCAAATCCTGACTTTTAATGAGACTCAAGGTTTCATGCCATCATTGAACAAACCAAGGTTCTTGTTGGATTATTAGTTAGGTAGGATTTTTGGAAAAACTCTACCTGAGGATTCACGACTTGCATAATACAAAGATGTCAAACATGCACAGAAAAAGATCGTTTTCTGACCGGTGA